ACGCACAGGAAAAAGGTGCAACTGTATCCCTTTAGTTCTATAAATTAAGTGCGTTTATACGAAACTGATGCAAACTGCCAGGCTTCCAAATGTGATTGCTGTGGCTACGCGCTTGCGGTCAAAAACATGTAGGGAAGCATAGTTTATATAAATGTATATATATATATATATATATATATATAATGTTTGTTCATAATGGATAGCAAGAAAAGAAGAACATACGTGGACTACATCTGAGAAGTTTTCGCACCTGGCCCCTCATGACGACTTCTAAAACTCCGGCCCCTAATCATTTTGAGAAATCGACACCCATGGTAGAAGTTCAATGAAAGGATAGGCTCCATGCCAGAACAAGTAGCAGTGAAGGATCGATAGACTTTTTCCACACAAAACTAGCAGACACTTTAAATGAGAGGGTGAGAAATCGAAATGAGGTGAGTATGGGAAGAAATACTCAGCTTGGGGATGGGATAGATGATTGTAATGTTTGACCAGGATTCACACTTCGAAACATCACTTCATAAGTGTGTGTCATGCTGGGCAGTAGGCCAGAGTCACCATGTGGTCTGAAGTAGTTAAAAGGTGAAGGCTGACGGGACAGTTAAAGAATTTCCGTCAGCCCACACATCGAACGCTCCGTCAGCACGCATGACGTCATGCGTGCCAGTTGACGATCGTGCAGACGACCGATCGAGCGGGGCCCAAACGACTTGGTAGGATGCAAACAACACGCCCTCTAGAGACGCTAGAGGCTAGGGTCTAGAGGCTAGGGGATGTCAGTGCCGCGTCTCTCGGAACTTTGTGCCCCCGGTCATAGGAAACAAAACTCCACGATGTCCGTCACTTAATTTTCAATTAACGAGTTGCTTATTTGCGAACCCATCTCCCAGTGCGTAGCATGAAAGGCCAAAAATAGCAATAGGGATATGAAGCGCGTCATTTTCTCAAGAAGCTGATGGTTCACAATTCTTAGTATTCAAGGGTGTAGTTTCTTATTTTTGAGGGGGGCTTCAGCCCCTCTCTCCCGAACTTGGGCTTAAGCCCACGGGCGTAGGAATAGGGGGGCCATGTCCCCCCTCCACATTTCAAGGTGGGGGGGGGGGGCAAGAATGTTAACTGCCCCCCCCAACTTTTCAGATTAAGGTTACATTTGGCTTACTTTTGCACTACATTAAACATGCATGCCGATTTACCTAGTTCACCAGCCATCTCCCTTAAGATGCGTCATCTTTTTTGTTTGCTCATTGGCCATCGCTTAGCGTCACAGCCGCAAACCTGACGCCGCGCGGCCTGTAGACTGTAACGCCAGGCGTCGAGGCTGTTATTACTATGACCTGCGAGCACGCATGTTCAGCACCATATTACGTAGTTTTCTTATCAGTTATCAGCTATGACAGGATCACGAGCATTTTAAGATGAGCATGGGTTAGCCATTTGAAAACAGATGAGGAATCCCATTTCATCTACAATCTACAGTCAAGGAGAACTCAATATTTCTGAAGAACACAGAAAAACACTGAACTGGAGTCTATTTGACAACTATCGGACCGCCTACGGTGATCAGGGATGTTGTTGCGCCAATGAGGGTAACTGTGCTGATCCGGGGCTAACTGCACGGATCAGAAGGCCTCCCGTGTCAGGGATGGGGACAATGTGATATGATATATCCTTGCAATGGCCTCCGGATCGCCCAGGAGATCCCGCCCCGTGCCGCCAGAATGATAGCCGGAAGACACTTTGCGATGGGACGGAATGGCCCTTCAGCCTTTGACCGGAAACGATAATGTACCTCTGGTGTTCTACTCAAGAAGCCCTTTGCTCGGAAGGAAATAAGGGGTATCATTATTGTTGAGGAGATTGGGGTTCTCATTACTGTTGAAGAGCGCAGATCGAAATGATTTTTTTTAAACGAGCAAGGTAATGCCATGTTTGCCAGAGAACGTTCATTTTTTCAGAATGTATTATTGAAACAAATTGCATCAAAATGCTTGAACGTGCCCGCCCGCAACCTCGAGAGCAAGGACAAGGATGGTCTGGGTTGTAACTTCCGTATTACCGAAAAGGTTCGGCCACTGCAAGCGCCGCCAGATGGCGGGCGCCGTGTTAATCTGTCTTCTGGACAGATAAATAGCTGCGAAAACACGAAAAATAGAGATTTTACCTTCACTCTTCCAGTTCAACCACCAGATTCCAGCCCCATTTCGTGGTGCTTTAGGGGCTAATCCTTTCTTTTAATCAGCCTAAAAATCACACACGTGAAATATGCGCTCTGGCTGCCTTCTAAATACAAGATCTGATGCCATGAAGCGTCCAAGGATTCTTTTTCACAAGCGTCGTCATTTTCGCCCACTCGTTGGCCACAATTTAATATTAGCTGTTGGGCCGACGCTGTGCGGCCTACGAATACTGCAGTGCCTGGGGTCGAGGCTCGTGTTTCTAAAATTTTCGAATGCGCATGGTCAAAATTACGTCACATAACTTGTACTACTAGTCGATTTAAGTGTTTAAAGGTAATAATTTCGGAAGCGTCATCGCTTCAGGCCATCAGTGGGCCACAGCTACATATTAGCTACTGGGCTAAAGCTCCGCGGGTTACGGAGACTGCAACGCCTGGCGTCGAGGTTTTTGTTGCTAAGATTTGCGAGTGGGCATGTAAAAAACACGTTGCATAAAATGTGTCTCTAATAGATTCTGGCTGAATGTTGAATATTTTCGGACAAACATGGCTTGGCCATGTTAATACACATTGTTCACCACTCGATCTACAATCAAATTTTCATCTTCAAATTTGGACCAAACATACCTATCTACAATCTACCTACGCGATGTGTTCAATGCCTGTAGAACCGAGATAAAAATTGACAAAGGTTCTGAGTTCCATCGGTTTAGAAGGTCAACTAACCATTGCAAATTAAGAGCGCCGGTGATTTCTTCCATGCAGTCATTCCACGCCTGATTTCTGCAATTTATTGATCTTAAAATGCAAACAGAATTGAGCTCACGGTAGCTCCTGGCTTCTGTTCTGGTTACAACGTAAAAACAATAATAAAATAAAGAAAACCGTTTCACTTGCTAACAAGTAAACTATATCCGGCGATTTTGGGGGGGGGGATCACCATAAGATGGGCTTTTGTCAAACTTGTGCTCCTCCTTGGCAGGGCTCTGGCTACGCCCCTGCCTACGCACAAAAGCGAATCAAGTCGCATACGTTGAATGACGTGTCCGTTGGGCCAATTCATACCTAAGGCAGACAGTTTCCCGGAGGCTATTTTTCTGCGATGGTGTGGTGTGAGGGAAGATAATTCGGAAAAAGATACTGCTGCAGGTGTCCAACACGCGTTTCATGCACCATGTAGTGGTAACGCTGGCCCCAAAGTATGCAGCAAAGCAGCCACACGATCAGTTCGCAGTGAGTCATGCGGGAGACATCCGGGCCAGGGCAGTGGCCACCGACGGCGGACAGGAGCAGGGCCCGGATAAGAAACATATGACAAATGGGCCTTGTTATGTGGCTTAATTCTTAAAAGAGAATCTCCAGTTGTATGGCTTTTGTCACATTGTTTCTAGCAGTTTCAAGCTCCCGAACTGGTTTCCGTCTAAAATGCTGCGACAAGTCTTATTTCTTGAAAAGCAGCCAGCGAAATGAGGGCGCATGAAAACCTGGCGTACTGTGAGCCATCGATCCACTTTCAGAATTGTCACCAGCCTATATCCAGGCCGTATTTTGGCATCTATACTATAGAGGCAGATGCTTCGTTTATGACCCAAAATACCTACCTGCTCGCGGAATTCTGCCTCCCCAGAAAAGACAATGTTGAAATGGATGGATAATCTAAGGAAGCTGGACTGCTTTATTTGCCAAATGACAGATAACTCGAATAGGCCAGATTATGCACCAGTGCTAAACAGCTCTAGATTCATATCTAACATAGCAGTCATGACATTTGAATAGAGAGCGACAACAATCTCCATCCCTACACCCTCTTTCCCCTTGGTCATCGGGCTCACTTTCCAGCAAAAATTCCTGAAGTACACCCTGAGCTTGGCCCCCCTCCCACTTTTTGAAACGTTCCTGTGCTTAAGTCCCCCTACCCAACTTTGGGATGAAAGTGGGTAAAATCTGAATAGGAAACCTGTTGCCTGGCATATTTGGGAGGCAGGTTGGGTCATTTTTCACTGTTCAGTTTTCCCAACCCACTTTATGGAACTACGCCCCTGGTATTATCCTATTATTCTGAGATTAAGCATCTCACAGGTGCATATTGAGTTTGGTGTCATGATGTCGTGTTGATGATATTTAGTAGTTACGGGCGCGTCGACCACGCGGTCATTTCGCGGTGTTACGACGTCAGTGTCCATGACATACCAGCGATGATCAGTGACATCGTGACATCAGTGACATCATGACAACAGTGACATCATCGACAATGATCCGAGACATCAGTGATGTTATGATACCATTGCAAAGCGATTGAGAAAATGAGGGAGCAAACGACCCGAATGACAAGCTCTCGTTAATTAAGCGCCACCACAGGAGGAGCATGGGCCCAAAAGCCCCCAAAATCCCAAAAGCTTTCGGGTTTCGCTTTGGGTCCGACCGCCCCTAGTGGGATGCAGCCAATGGGCGCCAGCCAGTTACGCTAGGGGTGCAGCCAATGGACAGGGCCGGGGTCTGGGCCCGGGTCCCTGGAGTCCTTGAGCCCGGATTTTCCGTTTTTCCATAGTGAGCTTGCATATAAAGTTGAAAATCTGAGTGGTTCATGCACACCGACTTTCGTGCCCATCCCTCCAAATCCTGGCTACACCGTAGGGTTACGGAAATGAGAACAGAACATTTCAGAGACTAGAGGCAACAAAACCCATGTTCAATTAAGTCGATTCTTTTCATGCTTCGCCATGGGTTAGTGTTTAGCATGCTTGGAAAGTGGGGATTGTGGAGCACCCACCGACCCGCCGTTTCCACGTCTCTGGCCGCGATGGTGACTCGTGACCGTAGGTGCTTGCAACATTAAGTGCTTTATTCGCCGAGACAACGCAGCATTGGTAACTCTACACTGGAGCGTTAAACCACCGTTATACTATTGCTAGAAACAACAGCAGGTCAGCAGCGTCCTAGGTCGTCATGTTTTATTAAGAATACAAATATGTGACTCGGCGTACCTTGCCGCAAGGACAGAAATGGTGCCATCGAGACGTATTTTACAACACAATGCGCTGTACAGGCGACTGTCGCTAGCAGCTAACTGCCGAGAAGCCAAATCCGCGGTGTAAGAAATCGCCACTGAGCAATCGTTAAGCGCAAATATTCAGAAATACATGCCCAAAGGTGTACTACCGGTGGCCACCGCTTCGAATTCTACCGCGGAATGTATACAGTTGCGTACTAGCATCCACGTAACATTCCAGTTCGCATTAGAATGGCAACAAGTCTCCCAGAATTGTCCCGGGTCTCGCCTGGCGCAGCATTTGGGCGTCCCATCAGTCATCAAGCCGATCCAGGATCCAGTTCAGGTACTCGGAGACGCGCGTGTTGACGCTGGGCACGCCCCCGTTGCCGCAGAACCTGTTGCCGAACGAGATGATGCCGACCAGGCTGTACGGCGGTCCGCGGGAGAAACGGTCAGCGAGCATCAGGGGACCGCCCGAGTCGCCGCCGCACGAGTCGCGGCCCTGCTGGCCGCCGGCGCACAGCTGCTGCGGCCCCAGGTTCCCCTGCAGGTTGCGGATGGTGGCGGCGCACGACTGCTGATCAACCCCAGGCAGCGTCACCTCCAGCAGCACAGAGCTGCTCGGCGCGGTGTCCTGGGGCCCGGTGCGACCGAAGCCGGCCGCCATCATGGAGACCCCGGCGAGGTTCCGCCGGCCGATGTCGCCGAACGGCAAGCAGACCTTCGAGATGAAAAAGCCCTCCGTGACGGGCCGGTCCAGCTTTAGCAGCGCGATGTCGTTTGACCGCTGCCGCTGCGGCACGCGCAGGTTGAAGCCGCTGTGGACCATGATCGTGCTGACCCGGAAGTCCTCCGGCGAGTTGCAGATGGGTGCGTCACCCGGCTGCTCCTGGCAGTCTGTGGCGCGGCCGATCTCGTGCTCGCCGAGTCGGACCGTTGTCAGCTGAAGCGGTGCGACGCCGGCGACGCAGTGGGCTGCCGTCAGCACGTGCTGCCGGCTGATCAGGGAGCCGCCACACAGGTACTGCGTCTGCGGGGTGCGAGGTGACGTGTAGCCCAGCAGTGCCACCCAGGGGTACTTGCCGATGGGAACTTCCGTACCGCCGACGATCCGGTTGGCAATATTGAGGCCGCAGGCTTGGCCGGCGTCCAGGATAGCGCGGTTGGGATGCTGCTCCGGCGCGCCATTGTAGCCGGCGGAGATGGTCGGGCGCGAGGTGAACCCGCCAGAGTCCCTCGGAGGCGCTGACGTCCGGGCGCAGCAGACCATAAAGGGTCCCGGGCCGACTCTGCAGCGGCTTCTGCGTATATTTTGGACCTCTTGGGACGACGGTCGACGTCCGTTCGAGATGAGGCTGAACAGGGCCGGACACTGCTGGATGGCGCCGCACGTGCCGCTCCTGCGGGCATAGTCCCGGCAGGAGGCCTGGCGACGCGTGCGGTCCGCCGCCGCGCCGGCCGTCACCGCGCAGGCGAGCACCACCAGCGTCAGAAGACGCATCGCAGAAGAGACAGGAGACAGGCGACGCACGACACGGGCGCAGGCAGGCGGCGCGAGCGGACCGAGACGAACGCCCTGGGCAGCGAAGTGTTTCTACGCGATGACTGGTGGTCGGACCAGGCTCCAGTCGGCTTAAAGTCGCCGATAACCGCCGGGAAACCGGTCTTTCCCTGGAAGGCCCACCGCTATCTCTGACGTCACAACCGCAGGATATACCCCCTCCCCGCAATGACTGATGCGCCGCAGCGGAGAAACCCGGTGCTGCCGTTCGCGGGGAAGGACTGGAGTGGAAACGGAGGCCTATCATGGGAGCAGCTGTGACCTCATCTTGATGTATTTATGGGTGGGCCCTCTATCGGGAATTCGGCTGGGTTTCAAGTAATCGACTGTCACAGGCGTAGCCAGTTGCAGCTCATTGGAAGCCCACCCAACCCCCCGTCGTCAGGATCGGAAGCAGGTTTTTTCACCACAGCGCTATTAAAGATAACTCCGCAAGCTGTAGGCGTAGAAAAGTTGCTTATTTCTTCTGGTTGGCTGGGGTAATGCCAGTGTAACTCCCTGCTTGCTACGCCAGTTTCCCTCAGCGTTATAGCTTCACCGTCCCACATTTGCCGTGTTACTTATCAACGATGCTGCAAGGTTTCTGTGCTTTAACGCTCTGCAGCGACGCTGTGACATTTATGTATAAGTCTTCACCTTCACATGCTGCCTGCCATTCGCGTCGCTTGTCTCCCTAAGCCTGCCTTAAGCTTGTTTTCATGTGGTGGCCGACTTGAAAAAATAGCTCAGCGTTCGAAAACGCTGCCGGAAAAGCCAGCGCTCGTGGAGCTA